AAGAGGCCAGAGCTCGGAGAGTATCGATCTGTGGAAGGCACTTGAAAATTCAGGGAAGGCTACAAGAATAGACTCATCCCGAATCATGCATCGAGTAGGACAGAGATCGAAGCGCTGCGGAACGGCGAAAAGACGGATGCCAATCTCAACGATCCATGTCCATGAAGAAATATCAGAGGGAGTTCAAGAATTGAACCAGATCATGAAAGAGCGTAGCTGCGGGCTCGGGTTTGGCAATGGAGGGGAAGGACTGATGCAAGGTGCCATCGAGTTGGAACGGTCTCTAACTGATTACATGACGAGATCTCGGAGAAAGAATCGGATCAAGCTGCTCGACGATGATATGCAACTGGAAATTCCGTCTAGAAGTTACCGAAACATAGAGGATATTGCAAGGGCTGATATCAAGATGAGGCTATCAGCTCTTGCCTACCCGAGAGACGATGCCACTAATCGAAGAAAGCAGTTAAAGGAATGTTCAGACAGTAGATCAGTTACTTGTGATGAAGCTGATCTCTCTGCACTTACAGTAGAGAATAATAACCAGTCAAGATCATCAAAACCCGGGACAGGTAGGATTCCAAATGTTATTGCCAAGCTGATGGGATTAGGAGAATTTCAAGAACATGAAGATGCAGCGTCTCGAAAGCGAAAAGATTCCACCTTTAAGATCGAGATCGAAACCGATGTATCCATCGAGTCTGTAAAGGTTGGCCCGAGAAGGAAAGACGCCGATCTACCGACGAAAAACTCAAGATGTAAGGTTGAAAAGACTCAAAGGGACTCGACTTCAATGGATACTGGCTCGGATTTAGTAATGCATGAAACGATATGTCGGGAAAGAGACAGAACGGAAAGTCGGAAACATATTCGGGAAAAGGAAAGAGGAAAGGATAGTGAAAATAAACAAAGGGTTAGAAAACCACTTTTGAGAAGCCAAAAAGGAACGAAGCGGACGCTTCATAACTCGGAGACACGAGAAGAAAGAGGGTACAATGAGAAAGAGAAGTTTCAGCGGAGAAGACAGAATTCAGACAAGGCTAAGGCTCATAGGAAAAGTTTCTCAGAAGCCGATGTTGCTTTATTAGATCGAGAAACCGAACTAAGCATCAGAAGTAACAATCCATCAGGAAAGGAGAAAAAACCAGTTCTTACTGGCAAAATCTTCCCTAAGAACATCGATCAAGAAGTGGCCACGCAGAATGAAACGCCGGAAAACCAGAACTCTGATTCCGAACAAGGAACATGGCGGGAACTACTCGGATGTTACAAAGACACTGATCAGATTAGAAGAAACCAGACTGAAGCAGCAGAAGCAATGACCATTATTAAGTCATCTGACAGAAATGATAAGAGAAAGTTCGAGGACGACTCACTTCTGCTTATGCTTACAACCGGAGAGGACGGAAGCCATATCTTGAAAGAAGCTCCAGCTGACAACGTAAGTTCATCACTTTACATATGAATATGTCAGAAAAAGACACAGAAGTTCCAACATATATAAGTGATTGGATGTTATATTATGCAGTTTCAGGAAACTATGTTGATGGGTCGGAGCGACATAGAAGTTCCAACGTCGATCTCTGATGGAAATGCAAACACATTACCAAAGACAATGACACCAAAGGGTAAGAAGAAGAATGCATTTTTCATCTTATCATCGATTATTCTTTCCAGTTTATCGAGTCGAAACAAAAAGCACTCTTTCTTTTTCCATGCTTTTAATGTTTCGGTTATTTCAGGAACCAAAGGTGAGATGGAGACGCTGTCTGAAAGTGACATTCAACTTAAGAAGATAATCCTTAGAAGCCGAAAATTCCTTAACACAGCAGAGGCACTTTTCAAACTCGACATTCCTCTCAGAACCCTTCAAACCAGCGGGAACGATTCCGATGGAGGAGATGAGAACAATCTGATCTTGGACTGTGGCTACGAGCTATTGAAATGGAAAGGGCGACTCCACGAGCTAAGCATCAATCCATTTCTGAAGGGGCCAATCAGTTTTTCTCAAGTGAAATCTTTGGATGATCTTGTTAAGCAACTGAACAAAGAGCTCGAGAAGCTGGGATCTTACGGCAATCAACATTTCACCGGGGAAATCCTCGAAGATAACTTGCCAGAGATACTGGAAAGAGATGTTCTTTGCAAGGAATCGGAGGTAAATTCAATGTGGGATATGGGATGGATGCTCGGGTTCATCGAAAGAGACGATGTTATAAGCGAGATAGAGCAGTTCGTGTTCAATGGGCTTGTGGAAGAAGTGACGAGAGATCTTATATGCACTTGACCAAGGATGAGATTCGAATTTCAGTTTTGGGAAGATCTGTTCTTTCTTCCAAATCTCTGTTGTCATTCAAAAGATTTGAAATTTTGCAAATAAGAGCACCAGTGCTTCAAATCCACATCAAGTTTCAGACACAAACCCTACATGTTCGACCGTAATTAGCCCTAAAAACCCCAAAAGCCAACTGCAGATTTGTCAGACGCCAGTGGATCCGAACCCCCCCTCGCCGCGAACAGTCGAATCGAGATCTTCCACCTCCATAACTTCCGGCGTCACGATCTTCTCGATTATGAGCTGCGCTATTCTATCTCCCGACTTCACCTCGAAATCAACGTCCGAGTGATTGAACAGTATCACTCCCACTGGTCCTCTGTAATCAGCGTCGATCACTCCCGCTCCAACGTCGATCGAATGCTTCCAAGCCAATCCCGATCTCGGAGCTGCAAATCGTAGATTTTACGTAATCAAGAGAAATTTCTACAGATTCTGTTTGTTACCCGAGAAAAAGAAAAGTTTAAGAACGCTACCGATTCTAGCGTAGGTTCCTTCGGGGACAGCGATGCTAAGATCGGTCGGAACTAGAGCCTTGCCCCTTGCCGGAACCTTCGTCTCCATCGCGCTGATTCAAAAGTTCCAGTCAGAATTTCGAAACCCGGATGGAAATTTCTCTCAGCTTCGAATTTGGTTGAAAGAATTTGGAGTACCTGGAAAGATCGTAACCAGCGGAGAGGGGTGAAGCTCGTTTGGGCACAACAGCTTTGTCGGAGAGCTTCTTAACTTTGAAATACGCTTCCGAGCCGCCATGGACGCCGTTCTGATCGAGCTTTTGGATTTTCGGCGTGGGTTCTTTGACTTCGGGGCTGCTGTTCTGAGCCATCATCACGGGAGAGACTGCAAATGAGGAGTTGCAGATAAACCCTAATTTCGAGCTTGGTTGAATTGGAAAACGGAATAGATCGACGGAGTTGTACTTATAGGAAGTAAAACCCGCCAAAACTGGGTTGATTTTCCAGTCAGTGGCGCGAAACCTTCCCGCCAGCATTGGTGCCGCTGCCGCCGCTCGCAGTGAGTTTTTTTTTCGATAATAAACTATTTTTCTTAAAAAAAAAGATCATTTAATGATTTCAGTAAATTGTAAAAACTATTTCTCAAAGTATTTTGTAACGGAAATATCAGAAATAATTTTGGAGTAATCCCATTTTGAATGTAAAAAGTTTATATTAAGTTTTTAAATTCGATGCCAATCTTGGATATATATGGGTATCCGGCGGCTTAACAAACACCCGGAAGAGGGGTCACAGATGTCAAAATGGTTTATCAAACCCATTTGGATTATACAATTTAATTTAATGAATTCGTTAATCCAACCTAAATAAAAATATATATAGATTAGGTTAATCCATAAAACCTAATTAACCCAATTAGTTTAGAAATATATATATATATTACACACACTTGGTTTTTATATAAAATTTAATTTTGATTAGAATTCATTTCGGTTCAGATTCGATTTATTCCAATTCGAATCAATTCATTACGGTTTGTATTTGATTTCAATCGATTTGGATTTGATTCGTTCCTATTTGGATTCCATACGAATCAATTCACTTTTTTTCACATTCGATTGGTTTTTATTTGGATCGATCCGTTATGATTCGAGTTCAAGTCATTTCGATTCAAATTCGATTTTTTTTAATTAAAATTCATTTGATATTATATCATATTTGATTATGTATTATTTGGCTCAAATACATTGGATTATGATTTTATTTATCCAACCTATTTGACATTTCTAAAAGGAGTATTCAAATATTAATGTTGATAAATTCGAGTATAACGATATTGAGATTTTGATCTGGATAAGTGATATATATTTGTTGATATATTTGTTAAAAGTTTAAAATATCTTTTATATTTATAATATTTATTTATTTTATTTAACTTATTTATTTTTTCTTTTCTTTTCAATCTTTTCATCTTAAAGTTTATCTATCTAATTTTTTTTGTTAACTAAAATGTTTTCCGAGGATTCGACCCGACTTCATCTCCCAAAGACCGGAAACCGTTTATATACCGCAATGTAGACTTCCATCCTAACCCGCAACTCGAATATGGGACATGAAACAAGAACACCCCTCTTTTTAACCAAATAAAAATCCACCCATCTCAACACTTACTTTTACCTTTTATTTTTCTTCTGTATTCACTCTCTCTCTTTCTCACACTTCAATTTTTTTCTAACAATCATTTTTCTTCTCTCATTTTAAAATTGTATCAAGAATGACTAAAAAAGTAGAAACTAAACCGGATATATAAAAAAGAATAAATTGAAACAGTGAAATATTGGTAAGTCGACAGAACTTAAATAAACATTCTATTTTTTTTATATATAAAGGTCTTTCCTTTCGGTTTTGCTCTATCAGCCTTTTTATTTTTTGTTTGGTTTTGAAATTGAAGATAAATATTATGGTTTTGGTTTTTTAAAGTTGTCCCAACTGGATAATCACCAATATAAAAAGAAACTAAGATGAAATTATTTTGTTTCTTGTTTCTCACCGAAGAGTTTTGTATTCCTATTTTTCCTGATTAAATTCTCCGATTTTTTTTTATCAAATTTACTTTTATTTTTTATAAAAATATTCTGAGACTGATGATTGTCACGGTTTGAAATTGGCACCGGATGTTCCTAATGTTTCATCTATCGCAATATCGATAGATATTACGACTACAAAGGATGATGATCAGATTAAGTAATCCGATGAGGATATTACTTCTAAGATACCTAAACAAACATCTGAAGCTTGGAATCATTTCATAGCAATGCCGATGGTAAAAAGAAAATTTGTAATTATTGTGGTACCCTAATAACCTGTATGATCTAAAAATATGCAATCACTAGTGTAATGATAAAGCATTTAAGAGTATGTAAAAAGATATCGCGGAAGATAGTGTTGAAGTTGATGATCCAAGTAACAAAAGGTTAAAATAAATAACATTATTCCATAATAGGTTTCATCCTTTGCGGTATTTGATCAATAAGAATTTCGAAAAACCTCAGTGATGATGATAAATATGGATGAGATGCAATTTAGATTTGTTGAAATGGAAGGGTTATTTCATGAGGATTGTGCAGCTTCAGTTTGTTATCTCATCATGTAGAACAATAATTAAAGATTGCATGAATATACTTTTAGAACATAAGAAGAAGGTGGCGAATTTTTTTAGAAACTGTAAAGAGAGTGTTTTCTTAATAACAAATACTTGGACATTCGTTCAAAATATCAATTACATTTGTTTTACTACATATTTTATTATTGAAGATTGAAATTTGCAAAAAAAGATATCAATTTTTGTCCAATACCTAATTATGCAGGTGAAACAATGGAAAAAATAATTGGAAAATGTTTGACTCAATGGAGAATTAACAAAGTTTTCATTATGACAGTTGATAATGTAAGCATAAATGATGTTGGAATCAAATATTTACAAAGAAAGCTCAAAACATGGAGAACATATACATTTGATGGAGATTTCTGGCGTATGAGATGTGGAACTCATGTTTTAGGATTTATTGCATGCTTGTAATTATTTTCTAAATGTTAGGATTCTTTTTTGATTGGTGATGCTTCAATAGTTATATGCTTCAAATAGTTTTTGTATGATGTTTCAATGGATATGTAATGATACGTTTGTATGATTTTGTGAAAAAATTATGTATTTAAGATGAATATATTTGAATAGTAAACACACACATATTTAGATATCCCGAATATTTAAATTCAGTCACAGATAGATATCTAGTGTGTCAAATATCCGAATTTCGTGAAAACGAATTGAGATAATCTTTTGAAATAATTTGAGGATCTAAATGTGAAGCCAAATATCTTAAAATTTTAGAATATTCGTATGCCATGCATTTCTATCCACAATGATGTTTTAGATTTATTAGTAATGACTCTTGAATTACTATATTAAATAGTATATATACAAAAAATAAATATTATAAATAAATAAATCCATACGTTATTACAAAACATAAGTATTAGCGAAGAGTATTTTATTTTTAAAAGCTAAACACATGATAATGACTTGACGTTTACTTAACACTTACATACCATGTCCGAAAACACCTTATTAAAATCATTTCCATTGTTATTAGCCACATTAAACTTAATTAGATTCTCTTTGAAGGTTTTTACACCAAAGTAGGATTAAACAGCCGTTTTAGTATCCTTCTGTTTAAGGAAATTCTATTAAACTCTCCATCCTTATCTAACGATAGTTTTAGTCAAATAGAAAACACATTATCGAATCATTTACAATGTTATTAGCCACTTGAAACCTTACTTAACTCTCTTTTAATTTTCATATCAAAAATCGATTAAAGCTATCATTATAAAATCTTTTTACTAAAAATAAAACTTATTTAATAAAAATTAAAACTGATTTAGCTCTCGTTTCTGTATTTTCAAATAAGAAACATCTTATTCTAACCACTTATAATGTTTTTAATAGAAAAATCGGTTTAAAAAACTGTTTGAGCATCTTTTTGTTCAGAGAAAGCTTTCTAACCTTTCATTTCTTATTTTCAAATTGTAAAGACCTTATTCTTACCATTTTTTCAATGTTTTTAATCACACTAAAGTTTAAAATATTTTATTATTGTTATACCATCTTTCATTATAAGTGTACAAGAAAAAACAATTCGATGGTAATTTATCATTATTTAGAAATTCATATATTTATTAAATATTTTAAAAAAATAAATATACCTACGATAAATAAAATTTCTATATTTATATGAGATTTTTTTTAGAAATTATGTATTTTTATGGATTTCATTAATGTAGTATGAGTTTATAAATATTTTTACCGTTGTCTGCTATAATTCTATTTCATAACATTAGCACATCTTTTTACATGTTCTTTACTTTTTTTTTTCCGACTGTTACTCTAATTTATTTGTTAATTATTTATTTATTACTGCCTTTTTCGCTATTTAAATTATTTATTTAATCACTACAGATTTTGCTTTCTAAAAACTTGCTTTTGTCTTGCCTTAGAGCAGCAAAATCTACATGGTGTCAGCTTCTGCTTCTTTATGCAAGCTGCTCCTCGAATCTGCCAGGAAAAAACCCTAACTTTGCGGCTAAACCTCTCTTAATCTTTGGTTTCCTCCCCGACGAAGCTCCTGAACTCGGATTTGATCGCAAATTCTCGGTGCAGCATCGTCCTGAGTGTGATAGCTTCCGAAGCAGATGAACTGAGCGAAAGGAATGTGAGATTTGATTCCATATTTGAGTGACTTTGGATCCAGAAGCTGGTGACTCTTCCCCTTTGGAATTTCTTTGGGAGAAGGAGAAGAGGAAAGCGTAAGAAGAGAAGCAGAGGATCGATCTTCAGGTGGATGGCAATGGCGAGCACTGAGCAGAACAGGCTTCTTCCTCTACGAGAAAGGGTTTGCCTCTATCTCCTGTTTTCATGATTTTTCTGTCGTGTCCGGAGCTCGAATCTGTCGGAATTTGTGTTAGTTTGAGCCGCTTCGTCGTAGATCCGAGGAATTTCGCTGCGTCTCAGATCTCTGGGACTTCAGCTGTTGCTTCTCGTTTTCCGATAAAGCTGTCTTTGGTGAACACCGAAGCACCCTTTTCTAAAGATGATCTAAGCGGGCAAGGAAGATTAACTTGTTTTTGTTTTTGTTTTCACTGGTGATGCTTTCTTGAAGAAAGTGTGATTCGCCATTCTTGGGTGCTTAGTGTCAATCGCTGAAACTTTCTGAATTAGGATTTTTGATGATCAGAGAATTTTAGCTCTAAATCTTTGGTATTAGTGGGTGGGTGGGCCGATCTGATGTTGACATGTTCCCTCGAACATCATCAGAATCCTCCCCTGAGGACAAATCAAGCTTCTGTTGTTACTTGTGTTCTGCCCCCATGATTGAACAAGGTGGTGGATTTGGTGATTATGTAAGATGACCCTATGCCTCCTAATTTCTTCAGAATCCGTGTTTTAAGGTATTCGTTGGCATGATGTATGAGCAGCCCACTTCGGTCATTTCAGAACTTACAGATTCTGATTGCAGCACATATAATCTTTGACTGCCCTTATTTGGTAAACAAAGAAGGATAACTTGCCATTCACTGATCTTGCCGGATACTCATGCTTTGCCTCTGAATTCTTGTGTTTGTCTATGTTTCGGCATTTCATGCTTTCTAATGATTTACTGCATCGACAGAGGAAGCGGTGGGTCGGGTGTTTGAGAGCATTATCTTGTTTTGGTGCAAAAAAAGGAGAGAGACGTATTGTCCCGGCTGCACGAGTACCTGAAGGGAATGCTGCAGCAACTCAATCGAATGGACCTCAGGCTACAGGATTGAGCAACCAATCCATTCTGGCTCCACCTTCCTCGCCTGCTTCTTTCTCGCATTCTGCTGTCCCTTCAACAATGCAATCGCCGAACAATATGCTGTCTTTGTCTGTTAACTCGCCAGGCGGTCCTTCATCAGCAATGTTTGCAACCGGGCCTTATGCTCACGAGACCCAATTGGTTTCACCACCGGTTTTCTCAACGTTTACAACAGAGCCATCTACGGCCCCTTTGACTCCTCCTCCTGAATTGGCACACCTCACTACTCCCTCTTCACCGGATGTACCTTATGCTTGTTTCTTGACTTCGGCTGCTGATCTTAAGAATGTGGAGAAGACCAATTATGTTTCGGTAAATGATCTTCAGGCAACATACTCACTGTATCCCGGCAGTCCTGCAAGCAGCCTTAGGTCTCCAATCTCGAGGGTGGACGATGGTTTATCGTCATCCTTTCCCGAGCGGGAGTTCATGCCGCAATGGGATCCTTTGGTTTCCCCACGGACTGGTAAATGTTCGAGGAGTGACTCTAGCAATTTACAAACACCTGACACTAGCAGCACTCCAAAGGCATCTGAAGGCTCAAACTTCTTCTGTCCTGATACATTTGCCCGATACTATCTTGATCACGATGCTCCGTTTTCTCATACGGGTGGAAGACTAAGTGTTTCCAAGGATTCGGATGTTTATCCAGTTAGCGGAAACGAGCAGCAACACAGGCAGACAAGAAACATTTCAAAGCAAGATATGGAAGAATTAGAAGCCTACAGAGCTTCCTTTGGTTTCAGTGCAGATGAAATCATCACGACCAGTCAATATGTGGAGATCACAGATGTGAATGATGACTCATTCACCGTGAGACCATCAACCTTAGAGGTGCCTACATCACTCTGTGCCATCGAGGCCAAATCGCAAGGACCAGAAGCAAGCTTGGCCAGACAAAAAAATGGTGCATTAGTATCAGATAGCACACAAGAGCCTTTTGACTCTTACAAAGGTAATAATATTTCATCACCTGAAATCTAGAAATGAGCAATGTGCTTTCACTTGGTAATATTTGAACTAGACTAGTCACTAGATCTTTGTTCATCCTGAAGAACTGTAGAAAAACCTGTGTTTTGCAAAAATACTAGTTTCAGAATCTCGGCACAAAAGCTTATCCATGGCTCGTCTTTCTCTCTATCCCTATCTTGACGTTTGCTTGTGCTATATGACGCAGATCACACGCCGAGGAGTGACCCTGGCCACGTATCAGGATCAAGCAGACGGGGAAATGGAGAAGATATATTCACAAAGTTAGGAACAGTCAGGACAAGTCGAAAATATCATATGGGTATGTGCAGTTCAGATGCAGAAGTTGATTATAGAAGAGGCAGAAGAAGCTTAAGAGAAGGCAAAGGAGACTTTGCTTGGCATGACTAGAAGCGTTTTGGCTATGAATTAAGCCTCAGGTTTCTTCCTCTGCTGCTTCTCTCACTAATCTGTAGAGCTTGTTTCTTTCTTTCCTTGTGTTGCCAAAACACTTGCTCTTGGGGGTGTCTCTGTGTGGTGTTTTAGCAGTGAATGTTATATGTTTATATTATATATACAGGGTGTATACGTATAATTTGTCTAACCAGTGACAGGTTTGCAAATTTCCTTTCTTTTCACTTATTTGGGAAACTGCTCAATTTCTGCCGAAACCTGAAATATAAAAGAAAAATCTTGGATACAATGATATAATGTGACTGCTTGACCTCACCATTACCACTCATTGAATTTATGCAATGACCCAATCACTTGGCTCCAATTCCAATATGACCTGTCATGATAATTGGTCACATTATTCAGTCACAGACAGACGGAAACCACAAATTAAAGGGTATGCCATCATTATCCAACAACTTGCCATTATTTTATTACTACAAAAATTATATGATGAATACAAGCAAACAATCATAACTCAACCCATTCTTGACGATCCAGAAGCCACATAGAAAGTTACATTTATCATTAGTTAAATGTAGAACAAAAAAGGGGAGAAGGATTACCCTAATGCTAACAAATGAGAAAGGCTGAAGCTGTAAAATGAACATGGGAAAGGATAAAATCTAACAACAAGATAACGGTTATTGAATCACATTTATCAAAGAATGCCAAACAGCAGAATCTACATAGTATTATGAGCTATATCCCCAGAACAAATATCAGTTTCTTCGGCATACTTCAATCTTTTTGAGAACCAATGAGTATAGAGGCAGTATAAGATAAAGAGTGGACGAGGGCAGTATCCTTAGCGATTTTACCGTGTCCGTAATTGTGAAATAATCTGGAACTTTGAGATGACAGTGCGGAAGCAAAAGCCCTCCTGAAACCTCTGATGATATTCCATGGAGTCTCTTTTCGGGACCACGAGTCTAAGACGCTGTAACCACTCTAGTCCTCTATCTGTCAGCCATATCTGTATGTTGAATTGCACAAGAAGAAATGCCACAGAAGTTTATAACGGATATATCAATAGATAAACAGAATGAAATTTTGGCTATCAAGTATCAACTGTTTTATATGTCGGATATGTGATGGTTGAAAACACTATGAACATCTTAACTTGTCTGTTCCTTTTCTAAGGAACAAAATCAAGCTTATAAACAGATGAATGCTGCCGAGCTTAGTTTCAGCATAGAGCCTTTGTTTCTTCAGGAAGACAACTAAGTTCAAATTCTTTGGTTTTCTATTCAAGTCCTAAAATCCTACAAGTATTCCTGAGGAAACAAAGAAATCGACGGAAGAATAAGGAGAGTACCTTCCAAGGTAAGCGATCTAATATTGCAGAGAAACTCGAGTTGAAAAGGATCAGGTTGTTGGTCGGGTTGTGACAGATGAACCCCGACCCACTGGAGTAACTCCTTTGAAAGCCTCTTCTGGTTCTTCTGCTTCTGCCAAACCAGAAAAACAAAGGCTTGTGTTACAACCATTTCTTTCAGCCACAAGCTTCCTTTTTCTTTTTTATTTCTTAGGACCTCTTTAGTTGCCGATATGATGTTGATCTCAAGGTTTAATTCCTTCTATAACTCAACCAGATCAACCGAGAAGCAATGACTTACCAACATCTTCACCAGCCTGAACACCTGCAATCCCGATGCACGAATACAGAGAATCCTCGTCCACTTTTAATTGATTATAAGCCAGGTATATATCCTCAATAGAAGCAGCTTCGTATAACAAAGTAAGCTCTTTGATGCATGATATGTCCTAAAAACACAACCATCAGAAGAGAGATGATGTGAGAAACGTATTAATGAACTTTTGTCTCTCTTTTCTTAGAAAGTAAGCAAGCAAAGTCGTCATCACCTTTCTTGGTACTGAGGAGGCTTGCAAGTGAGCTAATAGGTTAAGCCAATAGGCATTAGACTTGAGTTCAGCTTCATGCCTCATAAGAAGAGTCCGCTTTGCCTGTTTGATGGAAAACAGAAACACTTTCCAAGATGAAGGGGAAGCTCATATGGAACAGTCCTCGCAAAAGAAATCACAAGAGAAGTAAAGAGCCAAAACAGACAAACTGACCCTATCCAATTCCCTAGGGGCAATTTGGTTGCTATGCAAGCCTCTCAAAACACTCTTGCAGGCCTCGACAGCCTTATATACCTGAAATGGTTTAAGAAAGTTAGTCAAGACAAACAGTTAAGAGAGGCACATTCGATGTATGCAAGAGATTAGGCCAGCACCTTGCCCGGGGTTGATGTTACAGATATCACATACCACCCAAGCTTAAGTCTATCAAATAGGTTTAGCTCAAATGATACATCATATGTCAGTCCAAGAGAATCCCTCACTGTCGTAAAAAGCCTGCAAGCACCAAGATCGAAAAATGTTTTAATTAAAGAGTCAGCACACATATTGGGAAGAGCAACACACGTGTATAAGAACGGTACAAAGAAAACTGACACCATGCGTCTGAAGTGTAAATCCATGAGCCATTATGATTGAAATCCATAGGATGTATAGAAATGCAGGCATATAGCCCAAATTTTTGCTTTATAAATGATGAATGCATTCATTTTATCATTAGTGCTTCACTCTTATGCCATAGCTTATTAGCGAATGAGACAAGTTAAAACTCCTTTAGTGCAAAACTAGATGACAAAAGGAGCTCATTCACAGGAAAATCAGTCAGTACAAAGTGGTAGGTAAATAACTTAACCATCACAAGAAAGAAGACACAGCTCAACCATAAGATTTACCTTGAGTTGATGATTTCTGCTAGGAGACCCATTGTGATACCAAAGAAAAGTGGGTGCGCTCGGAGTTTCCTTTGCAACTCTCCATCACTTCCTCCTGATGACTGTTCGCCAGATTGCAAAAGTCCATCTGTAAAATCAACTGCGAATACTGCTTAAGTTTATAAGCGCTACTGAAGCTATAATTTACTCTTGAAACAAACCTAGAACTGACTTAGAACTCGGAAGCAAAGTTCCCATGGAGATGAAAATTACAATACCATAAGATTCATGGTTCTTATGCCAGTCACATTAGGTTAAACTCACCATGAGCAACAGGAAGTTTCCCAACAGACTCAAAAAGATCTTCGCCATCAACTGTAAGGCCCCAACGATTTGGTGCAGGTCCAGCAATGTAAGCACATGCTCTCTCATCAGTATCCTTCAAGAAAACCTGTCCAGAATAAATATGTCAAATTTGCCTGTGAAATATAAAACAGCCAGCACTACAGCTTCATAAAGTTAAAAAAACAGGAAACCAATCACAGCATTTCTCCTTGGTTCCTCACCTGCTGAAATTGCAACCCAGCTGACGGTGGTCGGAAAAAAATAGGATCCGACTCTGGTAGTTTCTGAAAGTCATGGGTAGCTCTAATAACTGTACCAAGGTAATCGAGGATGCAAGATTCCACTTCCTCCTCCGAGAAATCTCCCACGATGCTTACCTGAAGAAAAACAAGCACATAACTTTTTATGATCAGCATGCAAAGTCAGTATTAGCAAAGAAGTATTCAGCTCCGAAGATGAGTTTTCAAACACCTCCATATTGTCCCCAACAAACTGCCTCATAACTGCATCTTTTACAGACTCCAGGCTCAAGCTCTGCAATGACTGGGGTGTTGGTTCAACAAATCGTTCATCACCATTCAGCATTGCTGTCATGAGATTATGAGCAGTTGCACGCTCTAAACTTTTAGGAATTGAACGGTAATATGACAGGTACAGTTGTCGTGCTCGGTCAAATGCATCATCTAACCAGACACTATGCTGCAAGACAAGATTCACCATTCTTTATAATGAGATTTAAAAAAACAACAAGGAAAGTTAATGAGTTGATAATGAAAATGTTATTAACAAGTGCATCGATAAGAGAAAAAAATCAGGCACTAGAAATGTCATACCTCAAGTACCATGTGAAGCAACTGAAAAGCTGCACGCATTCCATTGTCTCTCAGAGTAAATCGGAACTCCATGGCAATGAACTCCTCAGTTGACTCCAACGAGCAGTTTATTAAATGATTTACACAGAAAAGCTCCACCTAAAGAGAATTATAATATATATGGGGAAAATTCATTTTACAATATCACTCTTCTAATTTATCAAAGACAATTAACGATTCACTTGCCTGCTCCCTCGAAAAGTTTCCAACTCGACCACCCTCACTCAGAGTTCGAACACCGACAACAACAGCTCCTTTAGAATCAGAAGTTTCAGCAGCTCGTCCCCCACCAACGATAAGCCGCATGACACCTGCCCGAGATTCTGTCTTGGAAATCTAAATTGAAAAAGGCAGAAATGTTAGGGCAGTGGTCTTTTATATCTATATACAAGATGGTAGAAAGAAAGTTTAGAGCATAAATCAACACTGTAATTTGCAACATTGTCTCTACAGTTCCTTTTGCTTTTGAGATCATAATAACTTTAACTTTCGATTATGTCTCTGTTAAGGTTCAGACTCTGAAACTCAACTTTCCAACACAAATCGAGCCTTTATTCCTCACCGAAAACCTGAATACAACTTTGGATGATCTTGTTTTATGAGAGGATCCAAACTCTCATTCCCCAGAACAAACCCTAACCCTTTCTGAAACTTCTCCGTAATCCCTTTCTCATCCATCTAAATCTGTATTTATAACTATTCACTACTGAAACTACTAACTAACTAATACTAACAGCTAAAACAACCCATACTAACTATAGTCCAGATTCAATGAATCTACCTAAACCATACATCTATCAGTCTCCATAAACACTGAACAAAAGTTTTTTGAGAAAATCAAGAACTAAAATTTATTAAGCAAAAGCAGATAGGATAATACAATTTAAAATCTAAAGACTACGTGTGGTATCATATAGAAAGTAAACTGCACCATTATGATGTTAGAGTAAACAACAAAAAAGAAAATTATACCCTGTAATTTACAGGAATGC